CGGGCGCCTCGTCGTTGACATTGGACACTCGGACCCTGACGGTGGCTGTCCCGGTGTTGGCCGGCTGGCCGCGGTCTAACGCCAGGATGACGAACTCGTACAGGTGTCCCGGCCGCTCGTAATCCAGGCCCCGTGCCGGGCTAATGACACCCTGCTCGGAGATGCTGAAATCGGGGCTGAGCGTGAAATAGGAGTGCTCGCCGTTTGCGCCGGTGTCACAGTCGGTGGCCGTGACTGCGGAGAGAGAAGAAAAGAAATAATTGCTTTAGCAGGAGAACAATTAGAGGACAGGATACATAGATAAACCGTACCATTATCGGGAGAAATGACTGCTTGTGTGAGGCCCAGATAATTATCCCATTGTTATTTACTGTGTGCACGCTGATTCCAGCTCCCCGCTCTCACTCCTTTGTTCTGGGCTGTCTGCGGAAGCCGTGTAGGATGAAACATGTCATAATGTGGGGATTTGATCCTTTAGAACAAGAGTTTTTAAATAATATGAGAAACCAAAACTTTATTTGTTAGGTTTTTTTGTTAGTTTCTCCACATGTGAAAAATTCTAATGAGAGTGCCCCAACCAGAATCTTTTAATATTGGTATGAGTTCAAAACGAAACATAAAAGTCCAACGCATTTCGGGGGCTCACAAATCTCCCCCGTCTACAGGGCTCCGATAGTGTGTTCGCAGGAAGAAAGTCAGTCAGGTCCATAGGGGGCACAGAGGCTCAGGTGAGGCCGCTCCAAAGGAAAGTAGCGTGCCCTCTAGCTGTGTAAAAGTCTATTGAGAAGGCGAGACCAAAGATCCAAAAGGTACAACATTTTTTTAATATTGGTTTTATTTCAAGGAAATGTAATACAGCCAACGCGTTTCAGGGGATCCCACCCTTCTTCGGGGCTCAGATATTGTATGTAGATAGGAGGACTCAAAAACAGCCCAGTACCAAAGGTAATTATTTACAGGGTGAACAATGGAATGGGGTATACAGATCCTATATATAACCAATCCTGGGTACAGTCCATTGTTCACCCTGTTAACAAATAACTGGGCCTCCTGACTACATACACTATCTGAGCCCCCCGAAAAAGTGGAGATTTGTGAGCCCCTGAAATGTGTTGGCTGTTTTATGTTTCTTTGAACTAAAACCAATATTAAGGGTTTTGGCTGAGTTTACGGTTAGGGTAGGGAGTTGAGTTGAAGCTTCAGGTCAGGACTGGGGGTTAGGTTGAGTTTAATGCTAGCGTAGGGAGTTGTGTTGAGGCTTCAGGTCAGGACTGGGGGTTAGTTTGAGTTTAAGCTTGGGGTAGGGAGTCGGGTTGAGGCATCAGGTCAGGACTGAAGGTTAGGTTGAGTTAAATGTTAGCGTAGGAAGTTGTGTTGAGGCTTCATGTCAGGACTGGGGATTAGGTTGAGTTTAAGGTTAGGGAGGGAGTTGTGTTGAGGCTTCAAGTCAGAGCTGAAGGCTAAGTTTCAGGTCAGGACTGGGGGTAAGGTTGAGTTTAAGCTTAGGGTAGGGAGTTTGGTTGTGGCATCAGGTCAGGACTGGTAGTCAGGTTGAGTTTAGGGTAAGGATAGGAAGTTGTGTTGAGGTTTAAGGCCAGGGCTGAAAATTAGGGTGAGTTTAAGGTTAGGGTAGGACATTGTTTTGAGTTTTCAGGTCAGGACTAGGGGTTAGGTTGAGTTTAAGGTTAGTTTAGGGAGTTGTGTTGAGGCTTCAGGTCAGGACTGGGAGTTAGGTTGAGTTTAAGGTTAGAGTAGCGAGTTGTGTTTAGGCTTCAGGTCAGGACTGGGGTTTAGGTTACGTTTATTTTAGGGTAGAGAGTTGGGTTGAGGCTTCAGGTCAGGACTGGGGGTTAGGCTGAGTTTAAGGTTAGAGTGGGGGGTTAGGTTGATATATTACATTATATTATACATTTGGTTTAAATTAATTGTGTTCTGTTATTCTCATGTGGGAGAAGTACACAACATGAGACTGACAGTAGGAGATTTGTGTCCATCTAATGGCCCCCATGTAGCCTATGCAGTCCTGCCCAATGTCAGACTGGAACTCAAGTGTACAAGGAACAATATATACATACTGTATACTTGTATATAAAATTAACTCATCCACAGTGGAATGATTCCTGTTGATGGCGCCAACAGTGAAGAGACACAGGTGTGCAGCTCATCCTTTGCTGAGATATATATACTGTATATAGATATCTTTATAGAGAGACAGAACAGAGCCTTTAAAAAAAAAATTCTGCAGAGTTCTTCGATCCTTGAGGCCGGTGTAAGTATCCGAGTTGTGTTTTGCTGCGCGGTGTTTTGTCGGAGAATTTATGGTTCCTCGTTAGCTCAGCCAGATGTTACTAACCTTGCAGCAGGGTGGATGTCGGCGGTACGGTCTCAGGGACACCTTCCTTGCTGTAGATCGTCTGCTGGAATTCGGGGGCGCAATCATTTACGTCCGTAATCACCACCGCAACCTGTGAGACATTTCCATTAAACACGGAAGAGTTCCAGCAGAGCGCAATAAACTGGACACTAATATCTTGATATAAAAATGAATCAGTGTGCGCCTGCCGCCGGCAAACAGGACAATAAAGCATCTGCTCGCACGTCAGCGCTGTGATAGGGTCATAAAGCGGCTCCCTCCGTGCGCGTACGTGCCAGAGACTACAAGGCCCCGGCATCGTCACAGACTGGCCGCGTCTCTGGAATGAGCTGCATGACTTAACGGAAAACTTCACCATGCAAGGACTGTTTTATCTGTCAACAGATTTTTAAAGCAATGCAGAGTCCCTTATAACTTACCCTGCCCAGCTAGCCCTAACACTAACCCCCTACTTCTAATGCTAATTCTCTAGCCCTAACACTAGTCCTAACACTAACCCTCTAGTCCTAAACACTAATCCTCTAGTCCTAACATTAACCCTCTACTCCCAACGCTAGGCCTCTAGCTCTAAGGCCAACCCATTAGTCCTACTCTACACTCTACTCCCAACACTAACCTTCTAGCTCTAACACTAACCCTCTAGCCCAAACACTAACCCTCTAGTCCTAACACTAACCCTCTAGCCCAAACATTAACCCTCTAGCCCAAACATTAACCCTCTACTCCCAACGCTAACCCTCTAGCTCTAAGACCAACCCTCAAGTCCTAATACTAACCCCCTAACACTAACCCACTAGTCCTAACACTAACCCTCTAGTCCTAACACTAACCCTCTAGCCCAAGCATTAACCCTCTACTCCCAAAGCTAACCCTCTAGCTCTAAGACCAACCCTCAAGTCCTAATACTAACCCCCTAACACTAACCCACTAGTCCTAACACTAACCCTCTAGTCCTAACACTAACCCTCTACTCCCAACACTAACCCTCTAGCCCTAACACTAACCCTCTAGCCCAAACGCTAACCCTCTAGCCCAAACGCTAACCCTCTAGTCCAAACACTAACCCTCTAGTCCAAACACTAACCCTCTAGCCCAAACATTAACCCTCTACTCCCAACGCTAGCCCTCTAGCTCTAAGGCCAACCCATTAGTCCTACTCTACACTCTACTCCCAACACTAACCTTCTAGCCCAAACACTAACCCTCTAGTCCTAACACTAACCCTCTAGCCCAAACATTAACCCTCTAGCCCAAACATTAACCCTCTACTCCCAACGCTAACCCTCTAGCTCTAAGACCAACCCTCAAGTCCTAATACTAACCCCCTAACACTAACCCACTAGTCCTAACACTAACCCTCTAGCCCTAAGACTAACCCTCTAGTCCTAAGGATAACCCAGTAGTCCTATCGCTAACCCTTTAGTCCAAACATTAACCCTCTAGCCCTAACACTAACCCTCTAGTCCTAACAATAAACCCCTCACCCTAACACTAACCCTCTACTCCTAACAATAAATATCTAGTCCTAACAGTAACCCTCTAGCCCTAACAATAAACCTCTAGTCCTAACCCTAACCCCTTGTTTATAAACAAAGCCATGTGATAGCCATGTCAAAGCCATTCCACTTTTTTAATAAGAAAATTTAGCCAAACCAGTCCGCATGGCAAAATTTAAGGCTTAGTTTGTCTGAATTTTCACAAAGGCAAAAATCATAATTTCACGACGTAATCAATTTTGACAAAATCACTCCACTGATCCCCACTGATAAATCAGTTATGTCACTCATGAGTGCAGGTGACACCAAATATAATAAGTTAATATGACCTCAAAAAGACTGAAAACAGAGCTGTGGGAGGAGATAAAAGGATATAGGATGGGAATAATGGAAGTGTACATATAACCTTTCCATACAGAAAGTCATCAGCCAATAGCATTCCTGTGCACGTAAAACATAGCATGCATTCTGTGCGTACCTCCGCAGTGCTGGCCAGCGATTGGTGGTCTTCACTTGATCTCACCAGGAGCAGAAACTGGTGGGGTTCCGTCTCATAATCCATGCTCTTCGTCATCGATATCGCCCCGTTCAGGTGGTGAATAGTGAACAGATTGTGGGGGTTTGAGACCAAACTGTAGCTTAATGTCCTGTTCTGGTGGGACAGCGCTGACACCGTCCCCAGTCTGGAATAAGGAAATGTAGTTGAAGCCCAATCGAACTTTCAGGTGAAATCCGCTAAATATATTCAAGGTGCATCAAAACAAAATGCGTGCAAAGTCTAACAGGTCATTGTCTTTAGAAAGCAGCCACAGCCTGGGTAGAGAAGCCTGTGCCCTGCGAGCATGCTCCAGAGAAAGATCCTTGCTCTCTGTGTGGATGCAGTGGCCTCTATGTAGTGGTCCGACATGAGTAAGTCTGTGCACACTTTTTGTTTTGGTACACCTGGACTGTGATTTTGCCCATTGTTCCACTTTAAATCGGCATCTGGAACGATAGGGATGCACCGATACCGATACTAGTATCGGTATCAGTGCCGATGCCGAATATTGGGGCGAGTACTCATACTCGCCCAAATGCTCCGATGCCTACCCCGATACCCAAGTTTCCGGTATCAGGAAGTCGGGCAGCGAGTCATTACTCTGATTGCTCGGGAAGCCGGCTTCATGCTTCCTCGTCACCTTTATGATGAGAGAGCATGGAGCCGGCTTCCCAGCCAATCAGGAAGCCGGGCGTCGTGTCATTACACAGCGCACAGCTTCCTGATTAGACAGAAAGGGGGCTCCATGCTTTCTCGTCATCTAGTGACGAGATGCATGGAGACGGCTTCCCTGCTAATCGGGAAGTCGGGTGGCGAGTCTTTACACGCCGCCCGGCTTCCCGGCTAATCAGGAAGCCAGGTGGCGAGTCATTACACACTGCCTGACTTCCCTCATGGGACTTCCAGTATTGGTATTTGGTATCGGCAAATACTGGGGAAAAAATATATCGGTAGTCGTACTCGATACTGAAAAACTGGTATCGGTGCATCCCTAGTAATTACTCCTCGGGACCCCTACAATTTTATAAATCCAGTACATGATTTGTTCAACATTACCAAGCTCTGATGAAGGGGGACCCTTTGGATGTTGAAATGTGTTGGAATTTTATGGTATATGAACCTGAATACAATCAAATTAGGACTTTGTATATTCTGCATTTGGTGCTTTCCTCCTTGTGCTGGGTGCCCCTACTTGAGAAAAGAGCCAACCTTCGTCCACCACCCCAGTAAGATCTGCCAAAGGATAATTATTCCCTCTACTTTGCTTAAGACCTGACAGAGAATGCCTACTGCTGTGAGAGATCTAGCTCTCCAGACCTTCCTTCTACTCCCCGAGGGTTTCAATTCTGTCTGTGACCCCATTGGGAAGATTTTCTCCCCCCGTGACACAATACAAAAAAGTGGGGAGTGGTTGTCACCAGTAAAGGAAGGCAAAGACAGCCATAAAAACAATGTCAGATGTCCTAACCCTTCCCCATGTGTTAGAAAGGTCTGGGGAGCTAGATCTCTCACAGCAGTAGGCATTCTCTGTCAGGTCTTAAGCAAAGTAGAGGGAATAATTATCCTTTGGCAGATCTTCCAGGAGTGGTGGACGAAGGTTGGCTCTTTTCTCAAGTAGGGGCTGGGTGCTCAAGGAGGAAAGCACCAAATGTAGAGTATATAAAGTCCTAATTTGATTTTATTCAGGTTCATATACTATAAAATTCCAACACATTTCAACATCCAAAGGGTCCCCCTTCATCAGAGCTTGGTACTGTTTGTGACGACATGGTGATGAGTTTATAAGATAAATGTGTATTGGGGTTGAGTTATGTTTGAGTGCGTTATACTGAGTGACCTGGTTACGGAAAGACTATCAGCACCATCCCTTGTTATCTCCCATTGTTCTCTGAGGGAGCTCAGAACAATGACATTCTGGCCAGGCTCCTGCTATGGCTGTCTGGAGCTATTTAGCAGGTGGACACCTGTGGTGTTGTGAAGACAGGATTTCTGGGGAGGGGAAGGGGGATGTGATGGGATTATATTTTGATCTGATCACTTTCTGTATAAAAGTTTGTGCAGTTTCTCAATAAACCAGAGTTTGTTTCACCTGCACTCAAGCCTTGTCTAGTGACAGGGGAAACTGGGAGCTAAGGATCTTCAGGTTGCAAGATCTCCTCAGCAAGGAAGAAGACAGCGGCAGACATACTCATCCTGAGTACGGGGGTCCGTCACACTGTTGAACAAAGCATGTACTGGATTTATAAAATTGAAGGGATCTCGACGGGTAATTAGTATGATCGTTCCAGATGTCGAATAAAGTGGAACAATGGGCAAAATCTCATTCCAGGTGCACCAAAACAAAAATTAAAAATGTGTTTTGGTTTTTGTTCCCATTGGAGAGACATTGGAGAGAGATTTGTAGCTCAGAAAGGGATGGAAAATCTACCCATTGGGGACACAGACAGGAATATAAAAAAAAGATGACTTACACATGTCCTGAGGGAGTGTTCTCCGGAACGTAGACAGTATAGGACGCATTTCTAAACTGTGGAGGTCTGACACCAGCAACCACGGACACTGTGACTGCAGGACTTCTCCTTCCAGGTTTATCAGCGGCTTCAACCGTCAGCAGATACTCCATATCCTCCTCCAGGCTCTTGTCTGTGGTCAGTATCCAGCCAGAGCTTCTGTCCACCATAAACCTGTCTGCTCCACCTGGATGAAAAATGATAAAGGCATGCCCTGGGGTAAGGCCAAAGACATCTCATGCTACACTAAAATAAACCACACCACACTCCTAGACTTCCTTCTATAAGGTTTAATGGAAAATCCAAATGAAGAAGGCCGTAGCATAGAATTACTTCCCTACAATGGAACATATATTAATATAACAGAAGATAAGAGCCATAACCAAAGTTAACCAAACCACAGGGTGAAGACCACTTACCTGGCCCCTGAAAATGTTTTTAAGAGCTCCTCTTTAAGGATACTGACTGGAGACCATAAATAACATACCTGCCACCAATTTTCCTAACCACGGGGTAATAACCACATACCAGGCCTTTGAAAATGCCTTGACGTGGAAGTGAAGCCAAAACTTTTTTTCGTTTTGGATAGTGTAAAGGAAGATTATAACCCCTATCAGATTTTCTGTCATCTTTGTCCCATTGGGAAGATTTCCCTTCACTTCCTGTCTGATAGTGACAACAGGAAGTGAGAGGGAATCCCTCCAAAGTGAGGGAAATCCCTGGTGGTTAGCTAGAACTAGTGTTCCCATCGGGAGATTTCCCATCTATTCCTGTTCTGATGATCATCAAAAATTTGGGATTTTCTTTCACCATCAGCTCCACTGCTATAGGAGAGATGGCACCACTATCAGGTAAGCAGTATTGGGAAGTGATCACTTCCTCCTTGACTCTCAATTGTAAACAAACTGGTCATGTTGCTGTCACTTATTGCTGGTGCTAGAGGGTGCCTGGCATAGGATTAATATGCCCTTTGCCATTGACCTTGGGCGCCATCTTGGGGGAGTCTGTTTCTAATTTGAGTCTCACAAGATCTGGGTGGCCATTATTTGGATGTAGAGTGCTATATGCAGCATAAACTGCACAGAGTGTGACTAGACGGGCAGATCAACGCCAGCAGCCAACATGATCTTGTCCCCGCCCAACGACCACCCACCTCTGACACATTTCACTGGCTTAATCATAGGTAAGGGCAGGAGCCCATTTTGTTAGGGACAGCTAGGTCTCCCCTCAGCTGGAAGCAGGTTGGAGCTCAGGAAACTGTTAAAGAGGAAGAATCAGACATTTCATCTGAGGAGCTTTTTAGGTATTCGCATGGTTGGTGTTGCCGGAGATCTCATCCTCTCAGCTGCTTAAGGAAAGCATGCTTCTCCTGGTTGTAAGAGCTGCTTTCTTGTTCTGTATGCGTGGTTGCTACTAACCATGTCCTACTGTGTGATGTCTACCTGACGGGGATTGGTCTGTTACTGCTCTGCCAGTTTGATGTAGATAAAAGCCATGTAAGAATGTAGGAATGCATGGCCTTCTACTCTGTAGCCTTCACTTCTCCCACAAGTATCCATCTACTACATACTCCTGCATGAATCATGCCGTCCAACAGTATGATGCAATGGTCCATTACCTTCCCGAAGGAAGTACTCCACTTCTCCATTTGGCCCTTCATCCTTGTCAGCTGCGTGTAATCTATAGACACGGGTGCCCGCCGGGGCCAGAGGTGACACAGCCGCCAGGTACGGAAATGGCTCCATCGTCCACTGTGGAGACTCATCATTGATGTCAGTGACTGTGAGCTGAAGATGGATGAGGTGCCAGGCCTTACCTGTTTAAAGCAAATTAATAAATATGTGTTGGGTTATCATTGTAATCTCTGCTTGTTACATTTTTGGAATATTGTGTTTCATGTACAGATTCATAATTACGCCTTCAAATGGTCACCTGTTGTAAGGCCGTAGCCGTAAACTCCAGCCTTCCGTGTCGCCGGAAAACATGCACTAGTACGCACATGCTCACAGCGGAAAGTGGTGCACAGGAAGTGACACGTTGGTCTCTAACAGATGGTCCTATTTAAACCAGCTGGCCCTATGGACCAGTGCTGAATGGTCTTTCAGCTTGTGCTTGTGTTCCTGCTATTTGTTTGCCTGTTGCCTTGACTTGGATTCCCGCTGACCTTGATTGACCACTGCCTGCCCCTGACCTCTGCTTGTTATCTGGATTCTGCCTCTGCCTGCTCCTTCTGTACCGTGCTGACCGTCTGGCTTGACCCCTGGCTTGTTTGACATCGCTCCAGTTTCCACTGCTATCCTCACTGACATCTCAGCTGTCTACCAGCCCTGCTCATCCTTCCAGGGACCCAGTGGCCGTACTTCTACCAGGCACCGTGTCTGAACACCTTGGCACCCTTGCTCCTCTCTGTCTACTCGCTCCCTGTTCCCACTCCCACGGGTGTGAGACAAGAGCCGCAAGGGAGGCCTCCTCAGCCAATCTGTCCCCCAACAGGTATGTGATACCTGCATATCAAATTAGTATCAATACCCTGAGTGGGCAAATACAGGTTCTCCTAAAACCCTAAAAGCTCAACCCACTGATACCTTTGCTACCCCCCACTCCAAGCTACTCTATCCATTTGATGCAGCCCTGAGTCTAATCTGTAACTTTTGCATTGGTCACATTGGGAATTTACACCAGGTTAATTACTTCCTCCCCCATCTGGCAGTGTTTGGGCCTGCCAATGGCCTCTCAGGCCCAGCACTGCATCCTAGAAGGAAGGGAAGAAGGTCACATCATCTCCCATACCCTGAAGCACCCTCAGTAGCCTTATTGTTTTAGGTTTTTTTTTGCAATGCAAAAAATGTGAAATACAGTACAAAATGCTTAAATACAGAAAATAGGGGCAAAAAACAGAAAAACAAAAACCCAATGTAAATTAAACAAGCCACCCTGAATATACCCCCCCCCCCCCCCCAAAAAAAATAAAAAAAAATAAAAAGAGTACATTATTTTTTCAAACAAAATGTGCAAAATTGAGAATCTCCAATTTGCACTGGCGGCAAAATCAGTCCTTGTGCAACAAAATCAATTTCACTGCAATCACTCGACTTATTCCAATGGGTTGCATGTCTCAATCAGAGAGCCTATCCAGCTGGTCCAAACCCATGGAGTTCAGCACCTGGAGGTCAGGCTTCCACTGTTCCAGGTCAGTGCTGATCCCAGTTGTGGGCCTTTGGGAAATTTAAATGGCTCAGTGTTTGTCAACTTACAAGGTATAGGCATACATACCAACTGTCCTGGATTTCCCAGGACAGTTCCACATCTTGGCCCCCTGTCCCACCAATACTGTGTCCCAGGATCACAGCGTCAACCTTATTTGAGTTACTGTACATGTGCAGTAACTCAAAAGGCATTCATTGTGTAGAATGGTGGTACCAGTGGGAACCACCATTAATTACTTCCTCCCCCATCTGGCAGTGTTTGGGCCTGCCAATGGCCTCCCAGGCCCAGCATATTAAAAGGAGTGGTCTAGGTGGGCTCAACCGGCAAAGTGGTTGTGATGGCTGATTCCTGCCCTCCACGCGCTCTGATAACAAATTTTTATATGTCTGAATATCGTTTTAGTATATTCGGTGCATATATAAAATGTGTTATTTCGGATTCGGACGAACCGCCGAATCAACTGAATTTCGTTGATTTGCAGGTTCGTCCGAATCCGAATGCATATGTCTAATGGGGACTACAATCGCTGTAGCTTGAAAGTTGCATTGAGTTGTGATGGGAGTGCTTCAGGCTTGTCAACAGCTGGTTTGGTGCCTTGTAAAGGATACACCAGCTATTCTCAACCAGGGTTCCTCCATGGTTCCTTGTGTTTTCTTGAGCGGTGGCTGACCTACCCGTTGCACCGTCATCCCCTAAACCCCTCTTTGGGGCAAGTCATATTTAATACAGACTGCTATTCCATTGCCTTTTTTCTGCTGGCGACCTTTGCTTTTATTTTCAGTTCTACATTCTCAGCAGCATTTAAAACAAAACCACTAATAATAAAACATAAACCAAATGTTTGTCTGCATCCATTCTGGAAAAGTTCATGTATGTTTTCACATTTTTTTTTCTATTGTTCCTTTGGCTTTTCCTTTAACACCGTCCCTGACACTGAACGTGTTTAGAAAAATACATTCTGAAAGCAAATGCGCGACTCTGCTCTCGCCTTGAAAAGAACGGGGAATCTGAAGCAAAACAAGTCTAATGATATGTTTTTTTTAAAGAGCGTAACCTTGAATGGGAGATTGTTTTTCTAAGCGATGCAAAAATCACAAGGAAAATGTTCTTTTTTATTACAAAAAAAAAAACCCAAGGCGAGGTGACTCTCCGAGGGCAGAAAGCGTTTATTTTACAAGATGTCCAATATGCACACGGATTGCTAAATTAAGGCCAATTACTTTCAAAGCTTGTACAGCGAGGGAAGGAAAAAAAATCATCAGCCTTGTAAATTGAATTTATACTGTATATATCACATGAACTCAACAGCAGCCGAATGACTCTATAGATTATCTCTGCCTAAAAAAGCAAAATAGATGAAACAAACACTATGTAATTAAACATAACATATACCAGTGGAAATAAAACTGAAGATACACTAAAAAAAGGAGAGAGAGAGAGAGAGAGAGAGAGAGAGAGAGAGAGAGGGAGAGGGAGAGAGAGGGAGAGAGAGAGAAGAGGGAGAGAGAGAAGAGTGCGGGAAAGAGAGAAGAGGGAGGGAGTGAGAGAAGAGTGAGAGGGAGGGAGAAGATAGAGAGAAGAGACAAGAAGAGAGGAGACGAGAAGAGTGAGGAAGAGAGGGTGAGAGAGAAGAAAGAGAAGAGAGGGAAAAGAGAAGAGACGAGAAGAGAAGAGACAAGAAGAGAAGAGTGAGGGAGAGAGAAGAGAAGAGTGAGGGAGAGAGAAGAATGAGGTAGAGAGAGAAGAGAGGGAGAAGAGACGAGAAGAGTGAGGGAGAGAGAGAGAAGAGAAGAGTGAGGGAGAGAGAAGAATGAGGGAGAGAGAGAGAGAGAAGAGTGAGGGGGAGAGAAGAGTGAGGGGGAGAGAAGAGTGAGGGAGAGAGAGAGAGAAGAGTGAGGGAGAGAGAAGAGTGAGGGGGAGAGAAGAGTGAGGGAGAGAGAAGAGTGAGGGAGAGAGAAGAGTGAGGGAGAGAGAAGAATGAGGGAGAGAGAAGAGTGAGGGGGAGAGAAGAATGAGGGAGAGAGAGAAGAATGAGGGAGAGAGAAGAGTGAGGGAAAGAGGGAGAAGAGATGAGAAGAGACGAGAAGAGACGAGAAGAAAGAAAACTGAGTGGCTCCTTATACTGCTTCATCCTCAGGGACTGCACAAGACTAATACCAAGTCAGATGCAGGTACCTACTATTGCTTGTATTTAAAAAATACATTCAGTTACAGAATGA